TTACAAGCGTCCATAAAACTGTATGAAAAAAGAAGAAGGAGGGGGCGTGCTTTAGTATTTTTTCATTTGGTCTCAACAACTTGAAAGCCGGTCCCTTAAAAAGTGACTTAACTTAGTTAAAAAATATTATGCCAAAGAAGAGTATCAGAGTCAATATCGAATTATTTCCGATTATCTTTCAGAAAAATCATACGGGGAAAGTAATTTTACTCCTTTTGGGTTAAGCAGCAGGCCTCAAGAATAGACGAATCCTCCATAAAGTACACAAACAATGTTCGCAATGCGAAATAAATAATTGCATGGATCTAATCTCCATAAGTAGTTTATTTTTTACATAGTCGTGAAAAGGGTGTGACGGTGTGAAGATAAATTCGCATTTAACTAGCGCGGACACCTACCATTTCTCTTAACAAAGCTCCGTGAAATGTTTAGAAACGTGATATGGTTGGATTTGGAAACCTACTCTGTCCATATTAAAAAACGTCCAATGTTTTTGTGAACGCCCCATGAATCCGTATGAAAATACTTTTCGAACAAGGTAAATAAATTCAAATTCTGCTTATAGGAACTATATAAGCGAAAAATGGCTATTGAAGAGTACACAAATTTGAGACTCTAGCGCATCCAAATGAAAAAATGTCACCTATATCACGTGAATTTATACGAAAATACTTTGCGAATGAGGCTGGAATATAAGTGAATACAGGTGACATTTCCTAGCCTGGCCACGCCAAAGTCCGAATCGCGAAATCATCATATTGCATGGCAACGCTCAGCCACACGCCGCAAGAGTTGTCAACGAGTTTTGTCGCGACCAGCATACTCAAAAGACATAGCGCCTTCTAATCACAACTTGTTCAGGTCGATGCAGTATCGCTTGATTGATACGCGGTTTCGAAATGCTGCCAAAGTGCGTAAATGGATTGGTATCGCTCGGTTGCCAAAAAGATGGGAAAAATGATGGCAACTATTTTCACTACTATATATATATATATGGTACCAATGTTCAATGGGAGAAAGGGAACACCGGATGCTACATATCTTAGAAAATCTTGGATTAACACTATTTCGTCTAAAATGGCTGGGCTTCTGCACATTTGAAAAATTCGACGACGCTCGCTATTTCGGATTGTATGTTATATGGTGAATGGTTTCAAACTAGAGAATGCCTTTGTTGCATTTTTTGCTAAATTCATTTTAATAAATTAATTATGTTAAATTAATACTTAATCTAAAAGAAATTTTTACACTAAATAGATTTCAGACTTTTAAAGAAAAGCCTACTTTGCACGAATACACTTACAAAAGTCGCTGTTCCGTCAGACTTTATCGAGTTTAAAAAAAAAAAAAGAAAAAAAAAAAAAAACCTCTTTCCTTTTTTTGCCTCCCTCGTGAAGAACAGCAATCAAAATTTGCTTCGTTCGCCGAACTATTCACACAAAGATATGGAAATAAAAAAGAACTTTTTTTTTTCTTTTTTTTTTAATTTGACGCGTACACTAATTGTATATGTTATTTCCATTGTGGTCCATGACTTGTGGTCCACGAAAAAGATCAAAGAGCAAAAGTAGTTTCGTAAATTGGAAAAATGCGATAGTCGTTAAGATACAATTCGCAGTGTCATCTAAGAGAAGCAATCATTCATTGCTTGGCCTATGTTTTTTAGTGAGCTTGCAAGGAAACGTTAACCAATTACGTGTGATTCGGAAATTGTGCAAGATGCCAGAACAGAAGAACAGTTACAAGAAAAAACACAAAAAAAAAAGAAGAAAAATAACAATCGACGTAATAAAAACAATATTAATAAATCAAAGAGTAAACCTGGTTGCTTTACTATAGACAAAATGGCCCGTGTTTGGTATTGTGGTATTGTAGAGAGGGCGCAACCCTTTTCGCTCGCTAGAGTCTCCTAAACGATTAACTGATGACAATAACTCGTGTGCGGCAATAAAAAAATGCTGCTGCTTTCACTTCCTCCTAATAATTTGCTGAAATGCATACCTGTCAACGATTATTTTTTTTTTTTGTTCTTTCTGTTTTTGATATTGTGCATATTACATACTATGAGATTTCGAAAACATTTGCCATTAACATCCCTCAGTCGAATATATTTTGTAGATACAGTTGAAAAGTTTTGTTTATTTAATTTTTCAATTTTCTAATTTAATCGTAATTTATGGCTTTAACACGTGTACGAAGTGCAACATCAAGAGAAATCGCCCCACAAAAAGTAAAAAAAATAAAAAAAAAAACAATGAACCGAAAAACATTTCAACATAACATAACATTAGAATCTCCGAGGGACTAAAAGGTGTAACAAAATTCTGTTCGTATTGTTTTACAAATAAATCACTTTACATATGGGCGCATGGGTGCGATGCGTGCATGTACATAAATGAATGTGTTATCGGTTTGAAAACATGAAACATCGATGCTGTCTATTAAATGTGTGCCGTTTCTGCCGTTAAGTATCGTACTCAGGAAATAATGAGTACAAGTGATAGAAGCAAAAACTTTTATATACATAATTATCTGGATAGGCCGGTCTGCTTGGCTTTCTGTATTCATTTTTAATATGTGGAAGCTAAGTTAATAAAGAAATTAAAACGTTTCAGTTTATGTACGTGTCCACTTTTCAATATTGATTAGAAGCTTACGAATTCACGATTACGTCCGTTAGCATCTTTAGCCGATTGCATAAACCGACATGTAATCTAAGCTTGAGTCGGCTAACACTATGACTTGGTTACCGCATTACCGGTTTAATAAAACTTGGACTTTCCCTGCCTAACTGTCTTTATAGATTATGAAAAGATAAATAGTTTCCAAGACTCAGTACAATCTCTGACAAATCAATTCCTGTTTTCACGCTCATCACCACGGATAGGTTTATACGAATTTTTAGCTTACATACGAAGTATATTAAATTTAAGCGGACGCTTGTAACACCCGGAAGAATGTGAGATAAGGCACCAACCGATTCAGAATCATTTTCTGAGATGATCTAGGTTTGTCTGTCCGTCTGTGGTCTGCCCATGTATTTTTGTGCGCAAGCTACAGGTTGCAATTTTCGAGATGAAATTAGGGTACACTGACGTGGACGAACGCTATTGGAAATGATTCGAATCGAACCACTTTTTCAACGCTTTCTTTTGATAAATCGTTTATAAGAAAAAATATTGTAATTTTTAGAATTTCAGCAGCCTAAATTGTTGTGAAACTTTGGCTCGTGTGGGGCAATTTTTTGAACCACTTATCACATAATCGTTCCGAAGGAAACTCATTCTTTATTTGGTAAAAAAGCCTAATTTGCAATACTTCTTGATGAAAATTCGTTCATAATAATAATTTCGCATTAATATTAACTTTACCGAATTTGGACCCGGTAGGTCTATTTCTTGCATTCCAGCCCATATAAGGGTTCTAAAATGAAAACTAAGGCCATATGTCGAAAAGGGTACAATTTTTAATATTTTACGAATTACGTTTATCTTTACTAAATCAACGATAGGGAATTTGAATCGCATAGATCTATTGCTTAGACAATGCTGAGAACAAACTCTTCTATGAGGGTCACAGACTAACGCTGTTCGTTGTGGTGAAAGCAACTGGAAAATATGAAATCTTTGACAAGTAAATTACATTTTCTAAATTTAGATCACGTTGACGTTCAAGTATCTTCCTTGAGTATGTATGAAATATGCAAATAATGATCCAATTATTGTTATATTAACAATTAGACGAAATGGTGTTGGGTACCTAATGATCGGCCTTGCCCGACTGTAGCATTGTTATTTGTTTCAGATTTGTTTACATAAGCTCCGTATGCGCATAGCGTATGCTTAAGTAGACTTCTTTGCTATTTCTTATTATAAAAAGAACTGCAAACCATATAGTAGTCTACCTTGGTCGACCATTTTTCTCGATACAGTTCACTTCAGCACACTTCAAAAGCCTTTATAGTTCTGGACTTGCCTTACTTTTAAAATTAATGAATTATTAAAATCGTTTCTAATGCATCGGCATTGTTTTCGTAATAAAAATAAAATGTTTTTCAATTTTAAATAAATATTTATTCAATCAATAAAATATTTTAGTAACCCCTAAGGGATATGCAAGGAATTAGTTCGTGCCCGGCAACAAAACTTTGCGATCATTATGTGCGATAATTATTGTATTGGAGTCATTGGAGTGAACAGCTTTTGTCCCTATTAAGACTAACGATATAGTTCTATTTTGGCCAGTGCACGCGAACTTGATGATTACGATGATGTTATGCAAGCCTTGATTCAATACAAACATATTCCTCTTATAGTATGCAATTAATACTGTTAGCTTAGGATAAGCAAACAATTTATGCTTCGAATTTTTTAAAAATCATTCAATGGAGAATGCATTTACAGTTAAATATTTCCACTTCCCTCCACAGATTTTCCAATCAGTTTGGCGTTTATCAAGTGACTACCAAGCAAATAAGACGAACTTGCAATATTTTCAAAATAAACACACTTACAATACCGTTAACAATAAAAAATCATATTAAGTTTTATTTATATTTATCATCAAAAAAAAAAAAAAAAAAAAAAAAAAGCAATATTTATAAATTACTTATTTATTTATTGAGTGAATTTCCTTTTTTTGGAGAAAATAACATTTTCTTTGGAGCACTTTTACTCATCCCTTTATTCAAAGCAAAGAAATTATATGCTTAGGAAAAAAGCAAAGTCTAGGCATAGCCGGGCAGACAAGAGTTGCCACTATCACTGTTCACTGTTGGCGGGTTCAAATCTCAGTGCGGTAGACGAGGCATGTTTGGTCATAGTTATAGTGAACAGCTCAGAACAATTATCCATCGAGGACCCACTCCCTATTTCCTTCCTATTTTCGCCTGACCACCATTTTCTTGGCCATCATCGTGTTGTACGTATATTCGATATCCCCTTCAAGGACGCGTCATATATTTAATTACATATATCTATATATATATATATATAGAGAGAGAAAACAATGGAAGTCTGGGTAAAGTAAGAATTATTTTTCGTTTAACTAAGGTTTATTTTTATTAAAATGTGATTCTCTGTTCATTATAATTGGATGCATATATGACTAGATTAAATAATAAATTTTCCTTGTTACACGAGTCTATTAATTAATTTTTGCTACTTTCTGAACTAACTTGGCTTGATGAGAGTGATGCGAAAAAAACTACATCAAGCTTGATTTCTCTAGACCAAGTTTTAGCAAACATGACTATTAACACTGGAATTAATTCCGCTATGAACGCTGATCAAGAATATATATATATATATCTATGAATCGGATGCATATTTCCAAGATTTACAATCGTTTCAGAAATTTAATATATCCGTTTGGCTACATAGGAGAAGAAGAAAGATGCATTTATGTCTATAGGCAGACAGACTTTAGAAAAAACTACCTTTTGAGTTACGTAATGCGGACATAAAAACTTGGTTTCTATTGGCAAACTACAATTCAGCTCATATCAGAATCATAATAATAATAATAATCAATCATGTGTACGTATGTGTAATAAAGGCATTCTGTCACGTTTCCACATGTTTGCAAAATGTAATTTTGCGTGTGTGTGTGTGTGTGTGTTTTTTTTTTTTTTAAATTTCTTTATTCATGGTAATGTTGTTATTGTTGTTATTACTATTACTGCATTTAAATAAATGCAGTTGACCAGCGGTAGTTAAACATGCCCACTGAAACAAACCGATAATTACTTGAAAGCTATTTCTTTCTTAATTGGGAAATGCTCGCAATTTTATGTGAATAAAACATTACTTTAGCGTTCGCTATATAGTTTAATAACATTTAACTTTAAATAAAATGATATGTTAATCAACCCCTAAAACAGTATCGTGTAAAGTTCAATGAATGTATATGAAAAAGCTAATCGTTTATTCAATATAGGTAAAGAATGAAAAATTAAAAAAACCATTTTTATGTTTCAAAGACATAAAGTAAAAATATAAAATGTTTTATTAAGAGATACGAAATAAATAAAGAAAAATTCATACAAAATGTCAAGTGATCTAACTGCGGGTCCGCTTTTAAATAGTAAAGGTATCGATAAAACCCAACAAACAAACACAACTCAAAATTTTGCTGCTACGACGATCACAGACAATGATAATTCCAAAATTGAGGTTATTGTTTTATCGAAGAGCGATAAAACTTTAATGAAAGCCATAAATACCAAAGATGATACGCTACGAAAACGTGCTTCCCTTGTTATTGTACCGCAAAAAGATTTAGAGTCGCCTAATTTGGAAGAAACGCGATCGCTTAGAATGAGTGATTCAGAAATTGTTAACGAAAATTGCAAAGAAATTATCGAAGATTGCAAGACGATTGAAAAATTATCGGTGAAACTATTAAATTCATCGATATGCTCAAATCATTCTTCTACCGATGAAGAGGATATGGAAGAGCGGAAGGCCGCCTTGCAACCAGATAATGGCAATAATATAGTTAGGAATCGTAATTCCATAGCCAGTGTTGATAGTTGCGTATCGCGCTCAAGCAGCAGCACTTCAGAAATAACAACATCAGGTGATGACGTGGCTTTAGATGATTATCAAGATTTGGAAAATAGTAATGCCATCGATGAGCTGGAAGCCGAGCGAAAGAACTGCATATCGAATGCTTCGTCTTGTATCGACGATTATTCGTTGCGTGAGAAACTGCATAATTTCGTTAATGCCAAATTAGATGGTAGCTGCGATGCGAGCAGTTCAACAGATGTCGATGAAGGCAATATCATGGATGGTGAAATGGAAAGTAGTGTGAAAAGTCGCAGCTTACCATCCTGCGATACATTATTAAGTCCTCAGGAGGCGCCGATGGGACGAAGATACGGTGAAGTCTCTCAATTTATGAGTAATAAACGGTAAGTTAATATATCTGATAAGGGGTAGAGAGCGCCCAAATTTGGGTACATTTATAAGAAGGCATTTTAAATGCTATTAATGTAAATTAGCTTCTGCTAAACATTGTTATCTGAATTATTACCCATTTAATTAAATTGTGGCATCATGACTTTATTGCTTTCATCGTTAGTCATCTAATAATTGTTGAGTGTTAGAGAGAAAGAGAGAGAAAGAGAGAGAGACAGATATAGAGGGGAAAAGAAAGCGAACGAGAACGAAAGAAAAAAAAAAAACACATGATTTCACCTATACGAATACATGCATACATACGTATACATACACACAAGCGCATAAACTTATCACACGACTAATTGACTACCGCAGCAGCAAGAGTCACTTCACTCCGTTGAGCCATGAAAGCAAAACTTTTCCGCTATATGCCACACATAAGTTAATGGGTCGGGATTCTATTAATGTTAGAAAACGGTTTGTTAAATAAAGGCATCAGCAGCAAAAAAACCATTTTTGTTTAATTAATGTTGTTAAGCGCATATAAAACAAAGTAAAAAATACAAATTAGTTCAACAGTACCGCACTTAGCGTTTGCTCCATAGTTACGTTCGTAAGGGTATATTTTTCTATAAAGAGCTTTTGAAAATGGACGCGAAGTATTCTTTTGTGTGTGGTTTTTTTTATTTTTATTTTTTTTTTTTTTACTTTTTATTATATTATTTTATATCCAATTATTGCAGACAATAAAAACCAGGGCAACAAGTCTTTGTTGTGCTCAGTACGTGAATGATTGTTGATGTTGGTTGGATGGATGATATCTTTTTTAATTTTTTTTTGTTTTATTAACTACGAAACGGTTCACTTTAGTGATAGTAACTTTATTGCGAATTATTGACTTCGGTTGAAAATTTCGCATTATGAAATGACTAAAAGTATGCTATGAAATGATAAAAGGATTTTATGGTCCATGATTTTCAATTTCCTGTCTTTTCGTTTATTGTTTTATCACTAAGGTGTTAATATTCTGCACTGTACAGTATGGTGATAAATTCTATTCTATTTATCACTCCATACTATAGATGAACATTTATTTACTTTATATATGTAGGAATGATGAATTCTGTTTTCAAACGATATATTATTTTGTGTTAATATATCACAGAACGTAAATGTGAAAAATGAAATCATATGCGTCTCTCTATTGCTTGATGATTTTACAAGCACGACTTAATTGCCTTGCGTGTGAAAAGCAAATTTACCCTTAAACTCCTGCGTCTAAACTTTTGTTAGGCTAATTTCGAACGTTAGCATTATTAGTCAAAATGATCTTTATCATAATTTCTCCCGCAATCAGCAATTGAAGGACTACTCATTTGTTTTATTCATTTGTCTTCATTTTTTTCTTCGCTTGCTAAGTGGAGAACATTATTGTTTCCGATGGTTGCTCTGTGGGTATACCTAACATTTACATATGTAATAGGATTTTTATCATCTGGTTATCAAAAGTGCTGTTTCATAATTTCATAATGCGAGTAGTACAGTTTTAGAAGATTCGAGAAATTCTAGAAAATTTAAAATTTTAGAAAAAAAAAAAAAAAAACGCTTTCACTGCAAATAATTCACTGCACGACAAAGTTGTCGTGCGAACGTTTGTGTTAGAGAGTTTGACTGACAGGCAGACATGTCTCGATGGACTCAATGTTTGATTCTATTCAATAACTTATCGACTTTGCAGAATCTGTGAGGTTTCCTTCTGTGTGCTGCAGACGTTTTCGCACAAAAAAGTACGATCATCCAGGTGAATTTTGATCGGTACAGACGTAGTCTCATCTTCATTTTATGCTATGGGCATGTCCATATTCTCACTGATTTAACCCATTTGCAATACTAATCTGCTTGCAGGGACTTACAATGTTTGTGGCAAATCTAAAAGCCTATGCTTACGACATGCATTCCATCATCGGACAGACAGACATTACATAGATGGATGGACATGCTTAAATTGATTCAGGATGTGATGTCGCGTCTCCTCTTGGATGTTGCAAACGTATTGAAAAAATAAATATATTCGCGAAAAAAAAAAACCAAAAAAAAAAACTTATTCGTGTCCGGCTGTAAAATGATTTACTGCAACCATTTTCGTAAAACATCAAAAGGAAATTTTAAATTCAATTAATAATTTAATCTGATTTTCTGCTTACACCCTGGAAAAGGAATCTATATTTTTATTGTTATTCTCTTCCTTTTTTTTTTTTTTTTTTTTTTTTTTTTTGGTTTATTCTTTCTTCGTTCTTGTATTTCATACATACTAACGCTGAACGATTATTACTTTATAGGAAGAAAGGTTTTCAAAAATGCCTTAAGGTGAACTTTCCATAGACTCTATGCATGCTGTTGTGATGGAATTGGAAAATTTCGTTAAAAAGTTTAAGCTATTATTTCAATTGTTATTGTATTGTTGCTGGTGCTTTAAAAAACTCGAAAAACCTGAAATTCAATTACAATACAATCAAAACTTTCATTCAGTTGCCATTTCTAAGCAGTCACGCAACTGTAAAATGCAAACTTTTTTCAAGTAATTAAACAGAGAATAAAATAAATACATAATAAACGATAAGTAGCAACGTTTAAAACGTTTGAATAATAATTGAATTCTGTGTTTACAAATTCAAAAAACAAATGCTTGCTTGTATTTACAAACATTTTTATTACTTTTATATATAGGGACATAAAAAACACAAACAACTCATCCACACCGTTTAAATAGGCGAAAGGTAAAAATTATCAACTTAACTATGAGAAGATGTAAATAACATTCTTTGAATCCAATAACATGTCAGAGCTTTACTTATTTCTTTAAAACTTCATTCATTAATCCCTCAACTCAATTCTATTCTAATCGTGCGGTCGCCTGATCTATTTAGCTTTTCGCTAACTATATACATCAAATTTAGGGAGAAACTTTTGTTCTTCAAGAAAGAGTAAATTATTTCAAAGGTAACTAACTAACTGAACTGAGCTGATTTAGATAACGTTAAACGATTTCAAAAAAAAAAAAAAAACAAAAAAAACTTTAGGCTGTCTACAACCCAACCTCGATATATTAAGAGAGAGCATTTTTTGTAATTAGAAAAAAATATCGCGAGGAAAAATGGTTTAAATCTTCTCAAGATAACGCGAGCAGACAATAAGATTTTATTGTAACGTCCATGACTTGCGCTAGAGCATAGGCGCACCTTTTCTTATACTGATCGAGTCCGACAACGATGCTGGATTGAAAGCTTGTCCGTCTATCTGTCTAACCGTATGTTAGTCTAACGTCTGTCCATTTATTCTTGTATTCAAGCTATAGGTCTTAATTTTCGAGACACTTCGATGAAATTTGACCTACTGAGGTGGTTAGGCCGAGGGACGGAATCATTTCCATGAAAATTATGCATTTACATAAAAATAATGCGTACTTTATGGTCATTTTTGGTATATATTAGTTCAGCGAAATGGTGTAGGGTATGTAGGGTATGTGATGGTGGACCTTGCCCGACTATAGCATTCTAATTTTTTTATTTATTTTTTTATTTTTATTTGCTTAACTGTTGATCGATCGATGACGAGTGTAAGAATTCTCAAAATATTTCTGACTGACTATATCAAGTTTTAAATCAATTTCAATTGCTAGGCAATAGAAGTCCAAAATTGATCTCTCCTCACGAATTTCCCGAACATAGACGAATCATTCTCATTTGCGAATTCTGTGAGCTATCGCCATCGATTGGGCATTAACGCAGCACATGATCAGTTCGTAGGATGACAGGCAGCTATAGGATGGAGAATCCTACAGCAGAAAGCAATTGTGACTCGTAAAGGTAATGATCGGGATATTCTGAGATTTTGACACATTTTGTTTGAACGTTGGTTCTATTTAAAAATCACAAGAGTTTGCTAACAGTTGCTATATCTATTTGTCGTCCTGCGACCTTGTAAAGAATTCAACGATAAACTGAAAGGATAATAAATTAATAAATGATAAATCGAACGAAAATCTTGCACTGATTTACTTAATATGGAGTCTATGGGATCGCTGATGAATATTCCATCAGCCGCTATTAAAAAAAAAAAAAAAAGAAAAAAAAAAAAGAAAACTCGATAAAAACCTGAACATGAGTTTATTTAATTACCCAACTATTACACATATTTGTTGCTATTTAACTTTCTAGCAAACTTCTCAGCCGGAATACTTCTATGGGTTTGTTCTCATTTAAATGCATGCAAATGAAAGCCAAGCAACGACTCCCCACTGTAGTAATGAAAATCTATAAAAAATTGTGTTTGTGTGTGATTGAAAGTATATTTTATATATTCCAAAGTCCATACATATATATTTTTTGTTGTCTTTTATTCCATTGTCGAAAAGTTGGTTTGCCTTTGTTTACAGTTTTGCAATTTGCTTTTCTTTCTCTCTGTTCAAATGATAACCAAATAATCATCTCGTACACGTACCCGTCTCTTCAAACAAGTTAAAAACTTTGTATGATTTCCTTGCTGTGCATGATTTCTTCTCCATTCGTGCATTCTTAACCGGATATTTGCGTAAGGACGAAAAATATTTTGCAAGAAAATTTAAAATCAATATTTCTTTCAATTTGAATTCAAATAATTTATAAAACTTTGTTCAGTAATTATTATATAGAGATAGATACGCGCCCCCTTAAAAGGGATTTACAGATATTAATTAATTATTCATTATTTGGATCTATTTAAGCTCAAACTGAACTGAACTGAAATGAATTATCTGCGTTTTTATGATAAGTATAAACGATCGAGGGAGTTTTGTAAATAGTAGGTGCACAATAAGTTGTGCATGTGTTGAAATTGATTACTTTATAAAATCGCGCCTCGCACCCTCTTTAAGATTGGGCCTTTAGACGAAAAATTGAATGCAAAAAAGCTTGACAATCGCCGAAGAAACAAATTTACGCTGTTATCACACTAAAGAATTTACTTTGAGTTTCCGCCTCGTTACGCACTTTTAGATGCGATGGGAATCACGTTGAGAATTGGAAGAATGTATTTTGTCGGATAGAAATGTACCAAGCCGGGCTAGGGGGCAAGCATAAGCATAAGCGGGAAAGATTATGGCCAGAGTTTATTCAAATCCGCAAAACAATGTTCATCGATTACATCGCTTAAAGAGTGTAAAACGATAATAGACGTGGGCTACGGGGTGTCATTGTATGAATTGAATATCAAAATCCGTCGTCACATTAACGCACCAAAGCATTCATTAAAGCATTTCACACGCAAGCTCGTATAAATTTGGAAAGAAATTGCCCTCGCGATCCCAGCATTCAATAGATTTCGTTCTCACCGTCTATCTATTATTTATTTGAAACCCCTAGAACAACTGTTTTACGGCAAAGGCTCAAATGAGTCTTTCTCGTATTAATTCCATTTAATTACAATCAAAATTGACAGATTAGAAGATTAGACAAGATTGAGGTTAAAAACTGAATATAGAATTATAAAAAGAATGAAATATACTTATGGAAGAGGGCAAGCTGCTTACCAATGACTTCTTTGAGCTGATCCACTGTTGATGGTAACAGCCTCGAGAGGTCATCTTAGTTGTAAATAAAACGGCAGTGACGGTAATAATATGGTTTTCTGATCTGACAGTTTTGCATGGACTAAGAAGAAGCTCGAAGAGAAAATGGCTGCGGGAAAGCAAAAAAAAAAAAATTAAAAAATTCTTGCAAACAAAAAAGCTTGCGAAACGGATTTTATTGCTCTTATTAGGTATCTTTCTTATTTATTTTCTTATTGATGCCCAGATTTTAAATGTGATTTACGAAAATCGCCTAGAAATTCGTTATCAGCATAGTACCGTACAGTTCGATAAAACGCCTACAGTTGATAATTTAAATTCGAACTTCTTAGCTGTTCTTCCCAAAACCGATAGAAAGTATCAAAATTAGAAATAATTCTATAATATTTTCACTTCTTTACCCACCTGTTCTTTTACAAAACTGATGATTCAAGAAAAATCGCAATCATATTCCCTGCAGGGTTACGTAGGCTTGCCGCGTTACAGACACACAAATCTAAATTAAAGTTTAAATTCATGGTACATAAAGTACATCGTGATGCTGCAAACGAAACGGAATATTTATTATAAACTATCTTCGGTTGATGGGTATTTGGCTTTAGACGGCAATGCCAACTCTTAATGCATAGAAAAGCGCCTGCGACGTTTTATCAAGGCAGCAAAACAATGCAAAAATGGCAAATCCTAGGAACACAAAAAAATATTTATATGAAAGTAGGAGATGATTTATTGCTGTACGTACTGAAATTTATATTTATGTGCATGTAAAAAAACGTTATCCCCGGTCCTGTGCTAAAAGAGATACGCTATTATTTGAAACTAATTTGAGAAAATGTTTTTCTTGATTTCCTTACGTAATTTTTATTATCTTCAAGGAAGTAAACATACATACGCAAACCGTACATACACATACACAGCATCACCTGGAGCGCCATAGACAAATTCCTAACTAGGATGTGTCAAGAATTGCGACGCTTAGAAAGACAACGGGTAGAGAGCAGAAGGAGCGGAAGCCTATTGTGTTTCACTGAGAAGGTTCCGCCAGAGGACGCGCGCTAATTGCAACCAACTTTCGCAAAGTAATACCTAACGGTGGTCCAATGGAGGACAGTTGTAGACGAAGAGTGTGTGTGCGGGGGGTGGGTGGCTACTTTTTGTACATAGGTGCCACAAATGGCGAATCGTGACGCCAGCACGGCGCGTGTCAGTAGTATCTCTCGAAGACCTCTATCTCCAGCTCGCATAGCGAACAAATAACACACATACGTACATACATACGTACATACACACGCGCACGCACACAAACGCACATACAAACGGACAGACAAAAGAAAATTAGGTTCTTGTAACTGTATTTATGGACATTATACCCCAACAATAATAATCATAATACAATTTGCTTTTATTTACAGATCTTCCGACTCGTCTGTAACCACTTTATTAGGTCAGCCGAATCAACTTAAATCATCTTCAAATTTTACAAATTTAAACAATAACAGCAACAGCAATAATAACAATAGCAGCAATAACAATAATAATAGCCATCAAGTTCTACCATTTTGTGGTTTAGATTCCATTAAGGGAAGTGACAATAATGGTGAAGATCTCAATGGTTGTTCGTTAAGCGTAGGAATCGGCGATGGTAGCAGTGCTGACGGTTGCAGCGGTAGCGGCAGCGGTGGCAAAACAAATTCATCTTTTAACGCAAGTCCTAATAATGGAAATGTTAATGCATCCGCTGCCAGCCGATCAGCGGGAATGGTGTCAAGTATTAATCCCCCAGCAACAACATCAGTAATAATGCCACACGATAATGCATCAGACCAATTTCAATCATTAGATGCCAATGACAGCTCATGCTGTGGTGACGGACAATTCGAAGATGATATGCAAGCTCTTCTGCCCAAATGCCAGCGACTTTCAAGAGATGAACTTAGTCAGGTGAGTTGCAAATAAATATCCATCAGGCAAATAAAAATGCTTGACATTTTAATTGGAATATTGTCAAAAGAGACAAGATATAAATCGCGTCAGGTATCAAACTCTCAAACGAAGGCAAAATAAAAATATTATTAAGAGAAATGTTTGTTTAAAAAACTTCTTGACTCTCATTTTATGTATGTAATGCACTCGTGCTAAAGATTTTCATTTTATTAAAAAATGAAAAAACAACATTTATATATATATATATATATATATATATATTTCCTTCATTTTCAATAACCTCCACCAGCAACCAGCAACCAGCAACCATTAACCAGTAACCCATCTAAAGCAGAATGAGTCAGTAAGAGAGGTTTTCGGTGGAAATCTCTTGCATCGTTTTTCAATTGCCTTAAGCTCTATTCTATATTATTATTATTATTACTATTATTATTATTATAACAAAAATTCTTTTATGCTTTCTGGAAATCCTTGAAGAAAAAATAAAAGAAGAAGAAGAAGAGAAATGTCTCCTATTCTCTCTCCTCCTTCTCACTCATGATTATAATCATTATTATGCTGTTGGTTTTTTTATTATTTATTAAAAGCAACCCTTAGGCGAAACAGAAATTTCTAAATTTCTACTTTAACTAACGCCGTCGCATATTCATCAGGCTCTCGTTTTATTTTGATTCGTGTTGTCGTATTATCTGCCATTCACATTTCTGTATTTTGCATTTGCTTCAATCGTATGTTTACAGTAGTTTATGAACAATTACGTTAAGTAAATATTTGTTTGGTTTCACAGAAAATAAATAAAAAATTTACGAAAAGCTTTACGTGTGTAAACAAATATATTCATAGACTTATTCTACTTTTCTCTCTCTCTCTTTCTCTCTCTCTCTTTATGTACAAATCTGAATGAATATTCATAGATTGAAATTTTTTAACTTACTCGCGCGACGCTTTAGATAAATCTAACGCTTTTATATTCCCGCACTAAAATATGGCAAGACATTATTAGGATCTGCCATTCAGATTACAGCACAAACATAATCTGGATAATACTTATGGCCGACTGTCTGTATAATGCCCTAGAATGCATAAGCCAGCTGCTTATGGTCATAGAAGGTTTTCGGCGGATCAAGTTCCCATCCCAGCATGGAAGCATTCAAAAATAACCCAAATAGCCCATAAAACAAGTTCGAAAATATTATATTTTCTCTGCCCGAAAATATAATTAACATTTTGATTTTATACGATTATAACTCACATAATCACTAACATAAAGGAATCTTTCGAGTTCTTTTTCTTCTTTTTCTTCTTTTTTTTTTTAATTATGATATCTAATAAAATGGAAAATAATTTAAAAAATTGTAATTTAATTATCATTAGCATTGAAACAAAAGCATATTTAAAACATTTGATTGTTTTGGAAATTTAATAGCTAGCATATGCGTGTCATTACACTGCAATTTATTTATTTTTTTTCTTTCTGCTGTTCATTTTTTTACAGTACACTATACCGTCTCACAAGCGGTTAAAGATATCCACGTCTGATATCTGCGAGTAATTTTAAATTGCTCATTTCGATCCCAATAAGGCGAACGCTAAAAAAAAAAAAAACTAGTTCATCATATTCATAATATTTACAATCATACATCAGGACATAAAAACTCCATAAATTGTGAGAATTTTGTTTTTTTTTTTTTCGTGTAACATTCACATATGACTCCGCAAAATTACTTTATTCATTTGCTTATTTATATGCAATAATTTTTTTGCTTATTTATTCATTTATTTGCACTCGATATTCAGCTGGAATAAATTAAGAGCCGAATTAGACTAACTCTCAGAAATGCCTTTTACGCTGAATATTATGACTAAGTTATTAATAGAAAGTTTGTGAAGAGAACTAAATAAAAAACAAGTAAAAATATTTTAGGGGGCCTCGGACCGTCATTAAATACCTTTTATCACTTCGCTTAATAAAGGTGTTCATATAATGACTTTTCAAAATAAGACATTATATCGGAAGTGAGCATAGAAATGGCCCGATCGGAACTATTGCCAACATTGTTCGTCCTTATGCTAAAACATGTCGGTATACCGAAATTCGCCGTTATATCTCAAAAATTGTCATCTATAAGTTGAACACCACAAGCAAGACGGACAGACGGATAGACAAGCTCAGAAACAATTTCTAAATTGATCGGCGCCATGAAAGGTGGATCTATCTCATATTCTTCCAATTGTTATAAACATCCGCGCAAACTTGATATACCCGTATTTATGAGAGCTAAGCATTTATATTGCAGAAATATCAAGCATTCAATATTTTATAGTAAAAACGTGCCTATAGCATTAATTGGATATAAGAAGTAATTTGCACCATGTAAATCAATTTTGTGGCCTCTGCTCCATATATAAGAATTTCTATAAGATGCGTACATCGAGTAGATAAAAGGCAATGTTCACAGATTCAAATGTCAATGAGCTTTGGTCATCCTTAATTGGTCGTAGTCTACTTTCGTCACTACTTTCTGAGCATCAGCGTGTTGCACAGACAGGGAGACCTACCTCCACTAAGTGATTGGTCATATTGCCTGGTCCAAATTCGGTAAGGTTAATTTTTATGCCAAATTATGACCGAGTTTTTATAAAAAAGTATTGAAAATTGAGTCTGCACCCGACTGTACAATTATTACTTGCGGTTGTTCCAAGTTTCCTAGCTATTTGAAGCGTGCTTATGAACGATTATAATCATTTTCAAACTTGATTTATGACTATTCGCTCAGAGTACGTCTGTCAATCGTTTCGGGCGTAGGAATTGTGAACAACGAACGTACACACAGGCAGGCGAGCATGGTTAGATCAAAATTTATAAAATCCCTCTCATCAATTTAAGCCTATCACAAACCTTGTACTGTACGTGCATTGAGATATGAACATTATTTCCGAAAATATGTCAATTAATATAACAAAAGTAAACGAACTAATTTGCTATAGCAGTGTGAAAGCAAACATTTAACTTAATATAATAGATACGTCGCTAAATGTTTTAATAAATTTGTAAATTTGTGTTAAAAGGGCAATATTAACCATCCAACTATGGCAATACAATTATTAGCTTTTCCAAGTGTAAATGTACGTGATTTTACAAGTATATAACAAAGAAAGGATAAAGGATGTTTTTAAAGGATATATTTCGTTACTTACTTAGTGCATATGTTACACTACTTTAAAAGAGACATATTCACATTACGCACTTATATACATACGTCTAATACAAAATATAAATACCGTGTCTAAGGGAAGAAGAAGTTACCCCGTCATCATATTATCTGATTCTTCTTTCATAGATACGTGAACTTGTGGGTGGAAGGAGTTTGTTGAACCACAATGGCCATATATGTCTATATATCTATACATATATATGTCTATATATATATATATATATATATATATGCATGTCTATATACACGTTCTTTATATGTGTATTTATACATTGTAGTGTTTTCGAATACACTTAAAGAAGTGGGTAATAATACCATTACCAGTGAGCACAAGTATATCAAATGTAAAAGCCATAATAAAACAGTATAAACATATAAAATATATTTACATGCATGCCTGTGAATGTATACGATTGTGTGATTGTGTACAATTGTATGCAATCATATAAGGGTACACACATGGCACACAATCACTAAAAACAGAAAAATTGAAAACTCAAGAGATTCACTTAAACTTGCAAATGATATACACAGACTGCTATCGATTGTTGTTACGCATGCATATGTTATGCTACCATAGGGGTATATATATATATATATATATATATATATGTATACATATGAATACATTTAAATTCTTGCAAATTGCCTTAGTGAAAAATTTAAAAGCAAATAAATCTTTTCAAATATATTTCGATGTATGTGTGCTCGTATGTGCAATTGCCTTCAGTAAATATCTACATAGGCATTTACATATATATGTATACATACACATTTTTACATTATAAGTGGAATACGTTAAAGATTCGTTTTCTTTTTAATTTTTTCCGTTTGTACAAAAGCACCCAAAAGTATGCAATGCTTAAATTTAATATAATTTTCACTGCATAAAATAAATCAAATAAAACATGTGGCAAAGCAGCAGAACAAGTGATGCCATACTCGCTTACCAAGCCATGCATACATTTACAAACAGGTTTATTATAGCCTCTAGCCTTTAGATATTTATGTGAATAAATACATGTATATCTACATATTTTTATATATACCTAAAGTATGTAAAGTGAGACTTTGTTTTATTTAAATAATTTTTGTGTGTTTGTGCAAAGATGTGTGATTTACCATTCATGTAAAAATCCGCCGTAAAACATATTGATGAGCTACACGAGCATATAAAATTAACGGCATTAGTTTACAATACTCAGCAAAAGCTAGCTTATGCAACTGGAGAGGTGGATTTTTTTTCACATCATGCATACGATTAACAAATAATAATCAATAAAGAGTAAATGGTCTCAAGTTAAGTCTTAAATTAGAGGCGATTTATCAATTTTGATGAAAAAGACGGCGAGTTCGAATTCACATTAAACAGATTGTTGATAAATGTTTTTGGGCAATAATAAGGCGAAGTTTTTGGTAATTAATGTCATTTTCCTGAGAAGAATTATTCTGATAAGCAATTTCGTATTGTAAAGCAAACTCAAAATATGTATTTTTTCAAAGAAATAATTAATTCCCCACCAAAAGCTGTCTCGTTTCATCGATTTAAAAAACTATTAGTTGGCGACCATAATACCCGCTGTATAAGCTGGCACAGAATTTTCAGTCTTGCAAAGAATAAGCAACAATGACCAGAGGTGGGGGCTATTGTATTCATCATAAGTTTAATGCTGACGAGATGGAAATAGTAGAAAACAATGCAAATAAATTCGACCACCTCGCGAGAACTTTAGATACTCATCGATAGCCGTTTATATTATTTATAAGAATTGCGCTTTACTT